TGCTTCTGAAAGCTCTTTGTGAAATTCGAGCTGATGTATTGTTTTGTATCTTTCTTCTATTTAATTGCATACTATATGGCATTCTTCTTATTACCACTATGCTTCATATGTGAACTATTTAATTGCAAAGCTCTTTGGGTGGGCATTTGGAGACTGGATTATATGTGAACTATTTTGGATTATGTTATATAACCTTTTTTTCGTATTAAAAGATTTTGTTCTATAATTTTTTTTTCTCCCTTTTTGTTTACGTCTTTCTTCATCTAAATCTTATCGAAGTGTCTTCTCACTATGAATGATATTTTTTTTCCCTCATTTGCAGCAAGATGATACAATATCTTATATTAGCGACTGCGTGAAAGATAAAACTCAAATGTCTTGCTTCCAGAAAGATAGATTTGGAGGAGATGGAAATAAAATTTCTTATTGGTAATTATCTTAGTTATTAGACTTCATCTAATTTCTGAATTCTGATGTTTAAATGTAATAGTAATTCTTACTGTGATGCTAGGTATGATGGAAATCCATTTGTTGGTTATAGACTATACAGGGAAGCTATCAAATGTGAGAAAAAGACAAAAGGTAAACAGAGGGGAAGTTTTTCCCTTCCAAAGTTTAGCATTCAATGGGAAACAATGGCCACAAATCTCGAGGAATTTCATAAAGTTAAAGTAAGTTGACAATCCCTTTCACTATGGATTTGATGTTTTTTGCTAAGCGCATGGAAATCTTAACGGATTCTTTTTGTTAATGGCAGGACAACCTGTTGTGCAGCAAAATCACTAGTGAAGTTTCGGTTGGAAAGAAAATTGAATCAGACGCCATTCCTGTTCTTGAGAAACTCCAGAAGGTTGTTGCTGAATTATTATGATTTTGAGATTGGTTATAGTGATTTGGATTGTCAATTTACTAGTACTATGCTCTAATCCTTCCCCACCTTTGTCTTTGGGGTTTTGGCATTCTCCTTCTAATATGGAGGCATTTGAGGTGGTGATTCTTCTTTCTATTCTTGGTGATCAGCACATGGTTCGAGGGAGAAGGGATTTTAGATTATAGTTACCTAATTTTGTAGTTCCCTTAGTGTTGTTCCTGCAATGGTTAATTCTCTGCTGGCGCCCGACAAAAAATCTCTATTATCTATTGTGGGATTGCCAGTTTGCCCCATCTCTTTGGGATTGTTGGTTGACTTCGTTTGGGTTATGTTTGGCTTGAAATAAATATTTTTTGGTTTTTGTGGACGAGGCGCTTCTAGGGTTGCGTTTCTGTGATAAGGACAATGTTTTGTGGCGTGCTAGTTTCTTTGCTATTTTGTGAGAGTATTTAGCTTGAACAGAATAATGAAACTTTTAGCGAGGTTGAGACGTCTTGTGATGAAGTTCGAGATGTGATGAGGTTTCGTGTGTCTTCGTGGGCGTCTGTTACTAGTCCCTTTTGTCGTTATGATCTTGGTTTGATTTTATTGGATTGAAGTTCATTTTTGTAGTTAGCTTTTAGACTCCCTTTTGTTGGTGGGCTTGCTTTTGTATGTCCTTGTTTTTCTTTCATATTTTCACCATGAATGCTTGGTTTCTTACCCGCACAAAAAAAAAAAAAAAAAAAGATTGAAGAACTTATAGTTTCTTTTTTGTGATTATAAAAGCTTCTGTTTTTGTATGCTGCAGAAGAAAGAAAGATTATTGAAACGTAAGCATAGGGAGGAGATGCTCTTGAACGACTTTAAGAAGCCCTGCATAGTTGGAATTACACGCACTTGTCGCATTCGTGCACCCGTGAACTATACATTTGGTATAGAATGAACTTCCCTTTATTACTCTCTTGGGTATTAAAATTAACTGCTTTTGAAATTTCAGATGTTTCCTTTTTCCTTGTGGAAGGAAAAAAAATTTCATATTTGTCATCTTTTATCGTTTGGTCTTAGTTGCTGTTATGGTACATGTGCACACACAACGGATGCCATCGTTTGCCACTTTGGTACTATTACTGCTTCATCTTCAGTAATTTTCTTGTTTTTTGACGAGACAACTTTTCATTGTGGAATGAAAACAATCTAATGCTCAAATGATACAACATTCCACAAGAGTGAAAAAAAAAAAAAAAAAAAAAAAAAAAAAAAAAAAAAAAAAAAAAAAAAAAAAAAAAAAAAAAAAAAAAAAAA